TTTTTAGTAGAGATGGGGTCTCGCTCTTGCTCAGGCTGGTCTCGAATTCCTGAGCTCAAACAATCCACCAGCCTCAGCCTTCCAGATTGCTAGGATTACAGGTGTGAGCCACCGCGCCCGGCCACACATGTGTTGATTTTTAAGTTATTCTGGTAGTTACCTCCATTTTTCTTAATATGCTTTTCTTACTATTTCTTGACCTAATGACCTGCGGCACTTTCTGTTGACTGCATGCTGACACTGGCTCTCCTCTGCATCAACATGGCTGTATCACTAGTTTTACCTCCTTTATTGGCCACCTTGGTTACTTTAACAATCTAATACCTAAACCTCTGACTTACTCACTCGACCACAGACAGAATTCTGCATATTCTGTTTTATGTGGACAACAGCACCACTACTATTCCATGTACATTTCCTTCCCTCTTTGCTTTCCAACCTGTTAACCGTACTGTACATTGTCAAGGTTGGTAACATTTGCATTCTGTCCTATAATCATAATTAATTCTTCCCTGCTTTGCCTAAAGCTGACTCTAAAGCTGAAAACCAATATTTACATTATTACGACTGTTTAAATACTGTTCACTGGATGACAAAGTTTTGTGCTATGATTAGATTTTCCCATCTATTTCTTTAAAGCCTAGATCTTTGTGACAACGCTCAAATGAATTCCCTTTCTCACACTCAGCAACGCTTCAAATCATGCCACATCTGAGGTTGCTTCATGTTTGAAGCATTTGCTCTCTTGTAAATTTTGAAATGTTTCCTTTTCCCCTCAGTTTCTGATTGTCACTGCTTTTTTGGTGAAGGATGAAGAAATGTATGCTTTCTATGTATGCCATCATGTTCTTAATTTCCTCCAGCTTCTTACTCAATCCCTCTATTACTTAAAATTCATTTAATTTAGCAGGAGATCTACTCACTTCCTATTCTAATTTGGAGGATTTGCCTCCCATTTGAACAATTCTTGTAAAATTTCTCTTTAAGTCTTTAGTTGCATTTCCTTTCCTTATTGTTTTTAATGCATCCTGTATACTTTTTCATTTTGTAAAGTTCATGCTGGTTTTATTTTATGAATGCAAAAGTTTCTTAAATATTTCTGAGGATTTTAATATTTTTAGGCTCTGTTCTGTTCCTCAAATTACATATTTCCTCATGAGTCAATTTCTCGTTTTATCTTAGCCTTTCTGGTCATATTGCAGGCTTTCAGCTAGTGGTGATTTTTAGCCAGACAGGTCTATAGACAGGGCTGGTCACTCTTCTCCAGGTTAGGTGAGCCAGTGAGTGGGAATGAGCCATCCTGCCAGGCCCCAGACGACACAAAGTTAGCAGTGGCTCTAAATATATACATGCAGGGAGACACAGAACATCAAATTATAGGAAGTTTATGGTCAGTTAACAGGCCATGTGGAAGAAGGAGGGCAGTGTGTGCCTGAACCCTTGCTGAACAGTCCTTCCCTGACCAGCCTTCCTAAAGTGACTGGTCTAAAGTACAGTAACCCTCATTTATTCTCACTCTCAACAACCTTCATACCAGGAATTGATAATGTATTTCTTTGTTTACTTGTTTATTTTGTTACAGTCTGTACCGCTATAATGTAAATAAACTCTATGAATATAAAGCCTTTGTCTATACTGTTCACTGCTATGTTCACAATACACATAGTAGTCAATCAATAAATATTTCTTGAAAGAGGGATGAACACCTGCGTATTCCTCAGATCCAATTCCATTAACAAATCTCAACTCTACTATAATACAATAAAAAGGAAATTAGAATTAGCATAAGAGATATATCTGATATAATATTCTAATGATATATTTAGGGTAATTAATTTTATATGGTCATGATTTACAAAATGCTAATTTTGTTTTATTTTTATTATACACCCATTCATACACACATACAAACTCAGGCATACAACCACATTATTCAGAGGGCAATACAATATTTAAGCCTTTCTAGTTTATGAATACCACACTAGTACTACATAAACTGTCTAAAGTAATTCTAATGAAGGCCAAGGTGTGGTGGTTCATGCCTATAATCCCAGTATTTTGGGAGGCCAAAGTGGGAGAATCGCTTAAGCCCAGGAGTTTGAGACCAGCCTGGGCAACATAGTGAGACACTGTCTGTACAAAAAATTTAAAAATTAGCTAGGCATGCTGGTGCACATCTATACTCCTAGCTACTTGGGAGGCTGAGGTAGAAGGATTGCTTGACCCCAAGTGTTCAAGGTTACAGTGAGCTATGATCTAGCCACTCTACTCCTGTTTGGGCAACAAAGTGAGACTCTGTCTCTAAAATAAATAAGTAAACAAATAAAGTGATTCCAATGAAGTCATTAATCACATCCCTAAGACTCAGAGATGAAACAATTTATGTTTATTTTGGCCAATAGCAAAATCCTTGCTAATTTAATGTGAACCTCAAAAGAGGCTGAGTAAATGTGCCCAAGCCTACATACATAGTCAGTAGTACAAAGCCAGGTCTATGACTCAGATCTTCCCTTTCCTGACTCAAGGAAAACACTTCTTCCTGGGATCTGGGACAGCAAAATCTGCTGCCCCAAAGTTGGCTCTCTTCTTTGCCCAGTAGGAGTCAATGTTTCCCAGAATTCTATCCTTGGCCTTTACTTGTCCCTTTCTTCATTCTCCCTAGAGGCTCTTACATGTGTAACAGTTTCCACCATCATCTGTATTCTGATGGCTCCGAAATCTTCATAACCAACATATATCTCCTGAGATCAAAGCCCCTATTTCTAATTAATTAATATCTTCATCCTTGTCTCTAAAATCAGTTCTTCTTTCTATAAGCCATAATGTTACCAGCATCTTCTTAATCAACCAAGCCAAGAGCCAGGGAGTCATAGTCTTCCTCTTCCTTACTGCCCCTATACCCTCCTAGCCAACCAGCCAAGTCCTGTTGAATTCATCTCCTTAGTATTTCTCATTTATCTCTCTACCTCTCCATCCTCTCTTCTAGCCACTCAAAGGCATCTTAGCATCTGGCTCATTATTTAACAAAAGTAAACAGAAGAAGATTTCAATTTGGGATTTATATTAATGTACACAAAAAGACAAAGTTTATAAGTAAGCTAAATTATCCTATCAGCATCAACTCGCAAATTCTTTCCTTCAAGTTAATAAAGAAATATAAGGGACTTACTTAAATGGTGTGAACAAAAATGATAAAGTAACTTCTTTTTTCTGAGTCATTTTTACCTGGGAACCAAGCATGAAAACACTGTATTATAAATGAGAAAAAAATTAATGCATTTCATTTTGAAATATAAATATCCATTAAAGTGATTCTTCAGGGATGGTTAACTATAACACTGTGAAAATAAATGGAGTTTTATTATATTGTTTCATAAATATTCAAAGAAAAATTTAACATTTTCTTACTATCTCAATAAGCAGAGAATTAAATCTATCAATCCTACAAAATAACATTACTGAAATATAATTAAAACTACCTCCTTAACCAGTTGAAAACAAAATAAGCCAACTGCTATATATTAACAGCATTAAGAATAATAGAAAGTTTTAGTCAAAGGGTCATCTCATAATAATTTACATGGAATGTCAAAAAATGTTACAATCTCTAATACTACTTCTGTGGGGCAAATTCCAGTAGGTAAAGACTTGATTGTAGTCTTTATAATCATACATGGTAATCTTCCATTTAGGGACACTCCTCAAAGGCAATTCTATACCTTCAAACTGAGTCATGGAACCTACACCCCAGAAATGTGAAATGCTTGTCAAATACACAAAATTCAAAGATAATAAATTATAGAAAAGCATTTATTAAAACACAAAATTAAATATTTTTACTTTATATATTCAATTTTACAATTGTAGTATTGTCTTTTTTTTTTCACCTTGAACTGTTCAAGAATCTGTACTGCATTTGTAAACATGCTCTCTGCTTTGAAGAGATCGGTGTTGTTAAGATAATCCACAGGAAGGATTCCCTGCAAATAATAAACATTGGCTTAGTGTTAGGATTAACAAAGGAAAGCAATAAAGATAAGGCATATGGACAAACAAATAACAGAAATTGTTAAATGAAAAATCTTTTTTAAAACCATAAATGAAAGATGTCCTATTATTTTTCTTACAAAGTAAATATAATAAAGTAAAGCAAAAAAGATGAATTAAAAGATTAAAAGATGAATTAAATCCAATTAAAACTAGCACTGACTGAGAGAATACTATCTGCTAGGCAGTGAACTAAATGTTTCATACATAAAAAACAATCACTATAGTGGGCCACAGCCAGTATACTTTTTTTTTCTTGCCAGACATGTATCTATCTATCTATCTATCTATCTATCTATCTATTTATTTATTTATTTTTATTTCAGCATATTATGGGGGTACAGATGTTTAGGTTATATATGTTGCCCTTGCCTCCCCACTCCCCTCCAAGTCCGAGTTTCAAGTGTGCCCATCCCTTGGATGGTGCGCATTGCACTCTTTGTGTATGCAAATACCCGTCCCCTCCTCCCCCTGCCCCTCCCCCCTGCCCGACATCCAATAGATGTTATTCTTATATGTACACTTATGTGTTGACCAGTTAATACCAATGTGATGGTGAGTACATGTGGTGCTTGTTTTTCCATTCTTGGGATACTTCACTTAGTAGAATGTGTTCCAGCTCTATCCAGGAGTATACAAGAGGTGCTATATCACCATTGTTTCTTAAAGCTGAATAGTACTCCATGGAATACATATACCACATTTTATTAATCCACTCATATATTGATGGGCACTTGGGTTGTTTCCACATCTTTGCAATTGTGAATTGTGCTGCTATAAACATTCGGGTGCAGGTGTCTTTCTTACACAGTATCATTTGGTCTTTTGGGTAGATGCCCAGTAATGGGATTGCTGGATCAAATGGTACTTCTACTTGTATCTCTTTAAGGTATCTCCATATTGCTTTCCACAGAGGTTGCACTAGTTTGCAGTCCCACCAGCAGTGTATGAGTGTTCCTATCTCTCCACATCCACGCCAACATTTATTGTTTTGGGACTTTTTGATAAAGGCCAGTCTCACTGGAGATAAGTGATATCTCATTGTGGTTTTGATTTGCATTTCCCTGATGATTAGAGATGTTGAGCATTTTTTCATATGTTTTTTGGCCATTATTCTGTCTTCTTTTGAAAAGTTTCTGTTCATGTCCTTTGCCCACTTTTTGATAGGGTCGTTTGATTTTTTCTTGTTGATTTTCCTGAGTTCTAAGTAGATTCTGGTTATCAGCCCTTTATCGGATTTGTAGCATGCAAAAATTTTCCCCCATTCTGTAGGTTGTCTGTTTGCTCTTGTGACCGTTTCTTTGGCTGTGCAGAAGCTTTTTAATTTGATCAGGTCCCATTTATTTTGGTTGTTGCTGTGATTGCCTTTGGGGTCTTCTTCATAAATTCTTTGCCTAGGCCAATGTCTAGAAGAGTATTTCCAACATCTTCCTCTAGAATTCTAATAGTTTCACTCCTTACGTTTAAATCTGTTACCCAGCGTGAGTTGATTTTTGTGAGAGGTAAAAGATGTGGATCCTGGTTCAGTCTTCTACATGTGGCTATCCAGTTTTCCCAGCACCATTTATTGAATAAGGATTCTTTTCCCCAATGTATGTTTTTGTTTGCTCTGTCAAAGATTAGGTGGCTATATGAGGATGGTTTTATATCTGGGTTCTCAGTTCTGTTCCACTGGTCAATGGCTCTATTTTTGTGCCAGTACCAAGCTGTTTTGATTACTACAGCCTTATAATAAAGTTTGAAGTCTGGTAAGTTGATACCTCCCATTTTGTTTTTATTGCCTAGAATTGTTTTTGCTATGCAGTGTCTTCTCTGGTTCCATACAAAGCGTAAAATTAATTTTTCTACATCTGTGAAGAATGATGTTGGTATTTTAATAGGGATGGCATTGAATCTGTAGATCACTTTGGGTAGTATAGACATCTTAATGATGTTGATTCTGCTGACCCACGAGCATGGTATGGTTTTCCACCTGTTTATGTCCTCTGCTATTTCCTTCCTCAATGTTTCATAGTTCTCCCTGTAGAGGTCTTTTACTTCCTTAGTTAAATATATTCCTAGATACTTTATTTTCTTTGTTGTTATTGTGAAGGGAATTGAGTCTTTGATGTGGTTCTCAGTATGACTGCTATCACAGCTGGTATACTTTAAAAAAAAAAAAAAGACATAAGACATATCAGAGTGTACTGTACATAGTAAGAGTAAAGACTATTTTGTGAAACTTTTGTTTCGGTTATACACATACACACACACTTAAGATTGTTGGGGTTGTACTACTCAGCATTCTGAGTTAGATAACTTTTTTTTTTAAAGTAAGTTTGATTTTGAAGAGTGAATAAGAGGCTGGTTGGAATAGATAGGTTTTTGGTTTTTTTTTTTGGTTTGTTTTTTTGGCATTTCAGCATCAAGGACCACTCTTAACAGCATTACCGTTTTCTGTTGAGAAATCTTCGTCATCGAATCTAACATGGTAGGCTTATAATCAGGGTCGACAAATAACCCAAGCTAGATGATCTGGAATTTGACACTTGAGAGTTGAAAAACAGGCACTAAACAGGGATGATTCTTCTCTGCCCCAGCGTCAGTGCCCCGAGCGGAATGGCCCTGCCATGGGATCATGGTGGTGGTTCCTTCTTCCAAGTCTCCAGAGCTCTCTTGGTTCCTGGTCATTTCAAAGCCTGGTTTTCAAGCACCCCTTGGATTCGGTAAAGCACCAATATCTTTTCAATAATTTCCCTTTAAACATACTTAGTTTCTGAGGCTTGTATTCAAAAAGTCATCACTTATAACTAGAATACAAAGATATAAATCATGTACAGGTTAGAAAATAAAAAATTTTAAAGAAAAGCTATTGTGCTTGTGCTCCGTGTTACAGATTATAATACACACACAATTATAAGGTATTACATATTTAGAAATAAATATACAGGAATATATAGTTTTAAATGCAATCAAAGATTATATGGAAACATAAAAAAGGGTAAATTTTACTATGCAATATTTTTTTAATACTGAGAGTTGATAATTTTATTCCTTACCACTGAATTAAGGGGAAAGGGAACTCCAATGAGGGAAGCCATCAGTGGTGCAATATCAGCCTACAAATAGAGAAAGTTCAATTCTAAGAAGTCTACAGATATCAACAATGACATTAAACAATTTAATGCAACTATATTGTGGACTATAACCATGATATTTGTTATAATTAATTACCTTCAAATATTTATTTAAGAAACACAAGACATTAATCTCTAAAAATGACATTTGCTAGAAGTGCAGGGACTCACTTATGAAAAAATAAATTTTAAAAGAAACCATTAAAGAAAAAATTATCCTAACAGCTAAGAACTTGGCCATTTTAAGGAAAAGGTTTTCACTATATGCAAAGGATGCCTTAACTACACAGAAAATAAATATTGAGAGAAGATTTTAACTGGAAAAATGTATATATTGACTAAAGAAAGAAGAATCTATCAGAAGGAAGTTTGCCAGCCAGTGAAATCCAGGAAACATATAAAACAGAGAAGAGACTCTTTAGTTAAAAGATCCCAAATACCACTTCGGATACCATCCCTCCAAGTCCAATTCCTCGGAAGAGTTGTTCACGCTTTCTGTGTTCATTTCTTCATCCTCCCATCATTCCTCCGCCTACTCTAACTTGTTTTGACCCTTTATCATTTCATAGACTGTTCTTCCTAAGAGAGCTAGAAATCTCCATTTTTTCTAAATCTAATTGACTGTTCCCTTATGCCTAGTTTCGAATCCTTGCTTGCAACCTCTGAAATCTTGGCAGGTTATTCGACCTCTCCAATGCGATTCCCTTATCAGTTAAAAAATATATATACATAAGTTTCTCCCTTACAGAGTTATGGCAGGATTAAATGAGATAAAACTTATGAAGTACCTGGCACATAACAAGTCTGCAATAATGGTAGCTACAACTGTTGCTGTTGCTGTTACTGTTATTACTAGACCCCTCAGCAGCATGGCTTAGACGGCTCCTTTCTTGGCCTTTGTTAACCCCGCACAACTGAGTTTCTTCAATCTCACCAGCTGCTCCTTTCAGATACCTTCATTAGTCCCCCATTTAAAGTTGAGGTTTTGCCAGGTTTGGTCTCAGGCTCTCAATCCTTCTCACTGTTACCATTTGAGGTGTCCGTACTAAGTACCATCCCCCAGAAAACTGAAAATTTCTGAAGTCCTCCTAATCACCTTTCCCTTTCCCCCAGAACCCGCTGCTGGCCATCTCTAATCTCTTCCCCACGCTGTGGCCAGGGCGATTCTTTCACAATAAACTGAATCATGTTACTCTCCAGGCTTCAAACACTTCAAGGGCTCCCCAAGTTCTAGATTAAGCCCACAAGGCCCGTAAGGCCCTGTAGGGTCTGTGCCTCCCTTCTTCTGCCTCCCATCACCCCACAGTCTCTGTTGCTCTGTCCACCAGCTTTCTTCAAGACCCTTTAATATAAGCACGTTCCCTCTTACCAGAGCTATGTGTACTTGCTGCTCCCTCTGCCGGGAAAGCCCTCCTCCTACTGCCTTGGCCTGGTGATTCCTGTTTATTTTTCAATCTCAGCTCGATCCTCAACTTCTTAGGAAACTTCTGCTGACCACAGTCTACTAGATACATCCACTCTATGCTCTCATGTCTTCACAGGCCTCCTCTGTGGTGCTTTTCACAGCTATACTACTACATTTATTTGTATACTAGTTCAGTTAGTATCTGTTCTCGCCATTAAAGTATAAGTTTCCCAGGGCAGGGATCATGTCTGTTTTTATTCACCATTATATCACTTATACCAAGTACAAAGTTTAAACACACTGCAGACACATAGCAGTGTTGGTGGAAAGAATGAATAAATGAAGAGATTCTCATCTGATGCAGATCTAAAGCAGGAGTATCAGCTGACAGACTCTGAGAATTCACAAACAATAGCCAAATCTATGTTCAGTTTCTGATTATGATCTGGTCTGGCTATGAGTAAAGATATTCTTTTCATGGTCTTCAAGTCATTCCTATGCCTTTCACAATGATTTTTTTTATTATAAATTAATAAATCGTTGTTATGCATTTTCATTTACTTGGGTAATATGTTATCTATCCTGGGAAAAAAGATTATTTTTATTATGCTGAGAAGAAACAGGTTTCTGTAGCCACAGGCCTGAAAGTGAGACTTTAGATCTGACTTGTCCAGCACCGCAAGGAATGTTAGCTCGTGTGGTGACCTGGAAGGCAAGATACTCCTACTACTTTGGAAGCCATATCCCAGTGATGCTACACACCTTCTACAGATAGTGAAGATGGCTATGAAAGTAGAATATTTTTAACAATGATGATTCTGTGCTTCATATTTATAGATAATGCTACTAGTCTAACGTTATTAGGTTTGCCACACATTTTCCTGTACCAGAAGGTTTTTAGCTGAGCAATTTATACTCTCGTTACTTTTTTCCCATTGCATTTGTAAGAATGGTGGTTAGAATTAAAGGTAAAATATGTGTTAATAAAGAAGAAACGGTCACTGACATACTATTGGAGAGAAAACTACAACAGGAGCTTTATTAGATCTGTGCTTAAAGTAAGCAATGCAACCACAAGAAGAAACCACAGAAATTTAACAGTCATGCAAATTTCAATTTATATAACAAATAATTATCCAGTGTTGTTTGGAGGGAGTCTTCTTTTATTTTCACTTTTTTTTTTTTTTTGCCACAAGAGAAATTAGTTGGGCTGAAATATTTGCCCTAAAAGTATTCCCCTTAGTAATTGAAATATTTTGAAAAAGACTTTGTCAGTATTATTAATATACCTATTTTTTCATATTTTTTGTCTAAACTTCTTATAGGAGATGACATTAAATTTGAATGTGATTAAATTGAAACAGACCTGATTGACATCTCGCCTTTTCCAGTTCTCCAATCTCCATTCTGAAAAACACAACCAGCCACGAGACCTGGTGTTAAGATTTTAAAAAGAATATATCATTTGATTTTCAAGAGTGGTCAATACTTAATGGAAAACCTAAGTATGGGGAACATCTATTTTAAGCCAAGTGTTAATAAAAAGGATACTTAAAAAAGTAAAGGCATATCTTTTTAAAAAAAGAATTTAAAAAAGTAACTGAAAAGTAAATATCTGGTATTTTATGTGATGATTTATTAAGCTTTTCAAAATGCTTTAATAAGCTAATAAAGTTTAAAAATGTGTTTCTGCTTCGACTAGTCAGCTACCAAAAATTCGCACTAATTCACCTCTGTGAGGAAAAAATGTACATCCCTGTCTCTGTAACTTACGATATTTAATTTTCATATAGGAAAAAAATATATTCCTTCTGCGATGATTCTTAAAGTCATGTGATTCTTGGATGCGAGGGTGACCTGGCTGTGACATCTGTCTCCCCATTGTTTGCCAGGGTAGATTCTGCTGATCTGGCTGGCTAGGCAGGTGTCCCCTTCCTCCCTCACTGCTCTACGTGCATTCCTCCCAAAGCTGCGTACTGGGTGCAAGAGGATGACCTTCCCCAATAGAGGAGGGCCATTCTTCAGTGAAGGGTATACGAGTAGCTGCACTCCTCTGCTAGAAGCTACAAACAAGCTCTTAAGGCATGTGATTCTAAAACATCAATTCACTGAGAAATCAAATACTAAAATAAAGTTAAATCTCCTAAGTACAAACAAACTACTCACCCATACTATTCATACTATTCTATTTAGACCCGGTCCAATCCATTTATCACAGAACAGCCAGAAAGGTAGCTGCTACAACAGACTGGAATCTTGGCAGTGCTCTGCTTACCACGCTTTAATGATATGGCAATGCACTCAGAACTCACTTCATGTTCCCTACGCATGGCCTTTCATGTCTCAAATGATCTACCTCCTGCTTACCCCTCCTGCCCCTCAACTCACTGTATTCTCCTCCTAGCTAACAGTGCTCAAGCCACATCAGCCTTCCTTGTGCACCTCAAACAAGCTAAGCTCTTTCCATTTTATGCCTCTGCATTTGCTATTCTCTCTTGCCTGGAACACTCCTGCCCTCACCTTCATGTGAATGGCTCCCTCATAGTCTTAGTGTGAACAGACCCCCTATTAGCCCACTCTACAAAAAGTATCCTACTCCATAAGGGAAAACTTCTTGGGTACTACAAATGTGGTATATGTGAATCTGGGTGGTGATTACATGGTGCATATACACATGTAAAATTCATCAAGCTATACATTTAAGATTAATGCACTTTACCTACTTTACCAAATATCTCAATAAAAATGTCAGGGGCAGGGAGGAAAGGAGCCCAGCCCTACTTCCTCTTATCTGTTTTATCACAGTGCCCTAATTTCCTTCATACCAGTTATAATCTATAAATTTTATTTACAATTGTTTTAACTCTCTTACTGAAATACTAAGTTCTGTGAAAGCAAGGACTATCCCAAAGATACGTAGTAGATGAAAAAGAGTCCTTTATATTTGTTTCATTTTTATGCTTAAATAAATCTGGAAATATCATGACAGTGCACTGGCTGCATCATGCTGGCGCTCTGTCAAATGCCTCCTCTGTAAGCCTGTGATTTGGAATGGTGCTCTCCACTGACAAATGCACCATTACTTACGGAAGACATACTGTTGAGTACATTACTCACCATGCCCTCCTGTCTTCATTAGGGCCCAAGATAGATATAGCTTGATATCATATCTAGCTTTTTATCTAATATCTTGTAGATACTATGATTTTGTAACTAACAGCATGTTTTTTATTAATATTTGGGTTGGAAAATTGCTATTAAATTTCTCATTTACCTCCAAGAAACTTTAGATTTCTTATTTATTTCATCTTTATTTACTGTACCTCACATTCTAATTAATTAATAAAATTAATTTAATAAAAGAAGATTGAAAATACCATTCACCAAATGTTTGGAAAGTTCTAAATAGTTATTAGCAGTGGTATGCAGGGAAACATTCAACAAATGCCTCTGAGAAAACAGAAAGAACAAACCAAACCCCCTGGTTTGTAGTGTTTGCAGAGAAATAGTAATAGCACAAATATCAAAGTGAGGAATTTAAAACTATAATTTGAAAAGTGTTTTTTTAAATTAAACTTTTATTTAAAAATGATACCTGCATAAAAACAATAAAGATAAATGTTTATACCTTTCAAAAATGCATCATCAAATTGTTGAACTGATACTTTTTCAGGATACTTGATTCCAGCTCCCCAAGTGATCAAAGGAGTTAAAGTCTCTGAAGGATGACCAGCCCCATGGGAACCTATAAATCAGATACCAAGCATAATAAGACAAGTAGAGAAGAACTTACAGCTGATTTAAAAAAAAAATACTGTTTTAAAGAATTGATCTAAATATAGTTAATTCTAGCCAGCACATTCCCAAATGCTTACAACTTTTTATAATAATTATTTTAAAAATATTCCCATAGTACAAGTCAGAGCATGAGTAACAAACAGGTAAAAACTAAAGCAAAAAATCAGAATGTCTGCTGAATAACCAGTTGAAAGAAGAATAAAAACAGTAAGACAGAAAAGATGTTGCCATTGCCGGAGTAGCACTGAAGACAGAAAGAACAGGGACAGCTCCTTTGGTCGGCAATCACCCAAGCTTGGGGCATGCAGTGTAGGCTAGGTCCATTCTGGAGAGGACAACAAGGTCTCTGGGTTTTCTTCAAGGCTACTCTGGATGGTGTAGCCAAAAGAAGCCCTTTATAAAGTGGGAACGCAGCTCACTGGAATTCTATATTGTGGTGTGAGGACCCAAACTTCATTTTTGTCTTATTTCGTTCCCTACTCACACACTGTGTTTGCCTTGGGACCCTCACAGGGAGCACAGGCTTATCTAGAACAGAATTTCAGCAGTACTAGGTCCTTCATTAATGCCATCTTAACATCACCCCCTTTGCCATCTCATATAGTTAATTCCATGTAGATAAATAATAGGTACTTTTTATTTTCTTCTCCACACTTATCTCTAGTTTCTCATTTGTAAATGAATATATATTCTTTTTATAGTTAGAAAAAAGATTCTTTATATAAGATCAGCCATTTTTTACACTAACATTTTAAGAATACAGTTATTATGTGCTAGACACTTTGTACATACTAAGATATCTAATCCTCCCAACATTGTAAGGTATTTGTAAGCTACATTTACCACTACTTTAATTGTGAGGTGCATATCAATTAAAGACAGACTAACCCCAGTCTGTCATTCCATGGTCAGAGGTAAAGATAAATGTTGTTTTCCCATCATTTCCATAAAAATGTTTAAACATGGACACAATTTCCTTTACTCCATCATCAACTTTTTTAATATTATCCTTATAATCCCTATTTATAAAGAAAAAGAAGAACAAATTAATTTGAAGAAATCAAATTTATTCAACATGAACTCATTACATTCAATGCCAGTAACTCCTGAAATGCTTTTAGATTTCATCTTTAATATTTTAAAATCAGAGCTCTTTAGATTATTAAAAATATTTTTTCTCCTTTTATTAAAGCAAAAGAACCTGAAGTAGATTTCAGAGATGTTTTAAAAGGAGGGTATTAATTATCAAGTACATTTTAATGAACACTTTAAGATCTCAAATGAGATAATTATGATCTTCAAGTTCGAGTCTCATAATGTACACTATACTGCTCTGGCCACATTAATAGACAAGTATCACTGTTTCAGGTATAAAATACTTTCATCCCTGGTATTTGAATATAAAATAGAATAACAGAATGTGATTTGAACAAATTATATTTAAGCTTTCCATACAGTTGAACAAGGTTGGTTCGGTATGAACATTCCGTTAACTAAAACAATGCTTCAGGTTAAAGAAGGGGAATGTGAGGAATTCATTACTAGGAGCTAACCTGATAGGCTTTATGGTTACAGTTAGGGTAATCTAAACCAAATTCAAAATAAAGAATAAAAGTAAAATATAGTTTCTTCCTTTTTCTTATGGTCTGCAAAAGTGAGAAAAGTATTTGCTGTCATATAAGGAGTACTACCATATTATAGTATACAAAACTTTATATAATTATTTGCTAGATACAACAGTGATTAGATGGAACACACAAGGAATAGCTAATTACATCTTTTTTGTGATATAAAAATTAACATCACAAAATGATTTTTATTATAAGATTCAATGAAAATGTTACTAAAATATATGGACATTTTAGATAAAATATTTTTCTCTGCTTTGATAAATTAAGAATATGGAATATATGTACAGGATAAATTTCACTTACACTAATGTGCAGTCTGGCCACAGCACATGTGATTTTAACCACTGTATGATACTACATCTCATGTAATTGAGAACTTATTGTATGTAACAGTGGCTATTTAAAATATCCATTCTGTTGTTATAATTACAAATAAAACATCATAATACTTTAAAAGTTCAAACAGAATAGCTGTTTCCCTCAAAATAAATGAAATTGAACAAAGATTTAAATTACCTTGATGATGGTCGATGAGCATGTCCATTTGTATCTAGTCCTAATAAATGTAAGAAAAAAACTATTTTCTCTTCATTTATTTTAGAAAACAAAGACCGGTTGTTTCTGGCAGCATGAAAGAAGTCCTATATGTAACAAATCATTTAAAACATTTAGTTTGCTTATTAATTAAAAAAATAATACTGATGATAATACTTAACTAAATTTATATATAACTATTAATACAAAATTATCTTATGTTGTTTAAATTTGTCCTCAAGACCTTCCAACACAGTCTTTGCTATCAGTTCAGACATCTATGTTTATATAATGAGTGAGCTATTTTCTTTGTTTTAATTAAGCCAAAAAAAGATTACAGAAAGGGGATCTTGATTTCATAAAGATCTCATAACATTGTTCATCCCATAATTTAATTTAATAAAATGCAGTGGATGGAAGAAACATTTTGGCAAGAGCCAAAAATAAACCAGTAATAATGGTAACAGTTTAAGAATTATTTATTATTTTTAAATATATTCAGAGCGAGACTACTCCTCACAGTCCTGTCTACTACCACCCTAGTTTAAGCATAATCTCTCATTTAGAACATTGCAAATAGCCTTCCTAATTACTTCCTTTGCCCCAGCTAGAATCTGTTCTTTACACTGCGTGACAGAAAAACATCTACTTAATAAAATATGGTTTAAAATTATATCAATTTCATAATGATAAATGGGATTCATAAATCTCTTCCAAGAGTAATGATTCACCTTGTACTCACATAAACATGAACATGTATGCAAGTATCTATGCAGAGTACTTTTAAATTATTTAAAATAAGTTCAACAAGCTATTCCAAGATATATCTTTGTTGTTTACATAAATGTCTCTAACTATAGTAGATGTTAGCTTTTAATAGCAAGAGATGTTTAACTTTTCCACAAAAGTGTGAAATATTTCAATATTTTTCAAATAATTCTTGTTATAAATGTTAAAAAAATACAAATGGTGCCATTAGACAAACTAGCTCTTCAAGAATAGAAATCAATTTTTTAAAATAACATGAAAAAAAATGAGCAACTGACTTGAGTTAAATTTAGAATTTGTTGTATGACTGGTAAAAAATATTCCACTATGTAAAAAGTGCTATTTCTTCATATATGGACATACAATCTGTGAAGCTATAAAATACTAATCTTACAGAGATCAATCTCTCTCTCATTGTTAGATTCTCATTTTTAAAAGATGATCTTCTGGATATAAGAGGTGAAATATACTTCTAGTTTCTTTTCCTCTAATACTTAATATACCTTATGTCTACCAGCTCCCACTTTTTCTCGGTCTCTCTGCATTCAAAGTACTCATTCGTTTCTGTACCCAACTGATATTTATTATGTAGCATGGGAGACTGCTAAATGCACTCTCCTCTTTTCCCTTAGCAAAAACCTTTGATCTTATGGGACACGGCAATACTCAAAACCTACACATTTCCCATCCTTTCTTGCAGCCAAATGTGCCTTTGTGGTTGTAGCCAATTTGCTTTAAGTCAAACATTTGAGTCAAAAAGCTATGTAGACCTAAGGCTCTTTGAAATAAATGTAATTCAGTAGGAGAGAAGGTCCTTTTTGATTCCTCATAGTGTTGGCTTAAAACACTGAAATGAGGTCTGGAAATCTAGCATTATCTTGGATCATGAAATAACCTTGAAAATAAAACCCATGCTCTGAGGATAAAGGAGAACTTTAGGAGACTGGCTCTTAATGACACTGTAGAATCACTATAGCATCCAGAACTGCATCAGTCCCTGGTTGTCTACTTCTGGCATTATCTTTACTAAGACAGAAATACACTTTTAAGCCATATTTTTTTCTATTACACAGAGCTGAACTTAATCAAAGTTAATACACGTATCTATGTACCAAGCAATTCCTTCACAGTTTAGAATTAACAACGTGAAAAAGTCAGTATCTCTGTCAACAGGATATATATAGGTTTGAAGGGGAATATGCCAATGCATCAACAATTATAGCACGGCATTATAAAGTATTAAGGGAATATAGAGGAGGGTTATTTAAGTCGAACTGAAAGTAGAGTAAAGTAAAGGAAAGTAAAAGACCTAATGGAAGAGATGATGCATGAACTGCATTTTTAAGAAGTGAATAGATTGAACATGCATGAATCTTTGAGGATATTATATTAAGTGAGATAAGCCAGTCACAAAAAAGACAAATAATGTATGATTCCACCTATGATGATATGAGGTATCTAAAGTATTCAAATGTATAGCAACAGAAAGTAGAATGGTGGTTGCCAAGGGTTGTGGGAGGGGGAGTGAGGAGGTATTGTTTAATGTATAGAGTTTCAGTTTTGCAAGTTGAAAAAGTTCTGCAGATTGGTTGCACAACACTGCGAATATACTTCCCAGTACTGAATTACAGATGCTCCTTGACTTACAATCAGGTTATATCCCAAAAACCCATTCTAAGTTATATCTCAGAATATAAGATATTCTATCTTATATTCTTGATATATCTTCATATTATCTTCAAATTATCTTAAGTCAAAAATGGATTTAATACACCTAACCTAATGAACGTCATAGCTTAACCATTTACAATAACTATGATGTGTTTTTGCTTTTCTAATCTGCTTATCCAATTTTTGTTTAAAGGACACAATTTTTTAAAACATTATCTACTTTGTTATTATAAATGTATTAATATTACATTTGAACAGCATTTTTCAATGGGCTTTTGCACATTTCACATAGTCTACTACTGCAAGAGACTGGTTCTATAGTCAATGAAAGATCGGAATTTACAGGATGATTCACCAAACCAGAAATGGAATGTAGGTTTCCTGAATCCCAATCTAGTGCTACTTTTACTATCAGAAACACAAAATTCTAAAAGGTTATCTTTTTAGAATTATTTTTTTAAAACTTCTATTAATTGGTTATTCCAGACTACATAATTTCTTAGAATTCAGTCTTTTTAAAATAGTGGGCTACAATATAGAACCTTCAAGTTCATCCAAGCAGAAAAAACTTAAGATACATTTACTAAGAAATCAGTTTCCAGTACTTCAGGTAAAAATACGCGTTTTGTACATTAACCATTCAATAGCACACACCTTAACATTATCAAAAACCCAACTATCCAGCTTTGTTGCATCATGAGCACCAAAATCCTCTTTTTTCGCATCGTAACTGTGTGTATAAACATGATCTCCACCAGCACCTGAAAAGGAAATTTGGGAAAGATAAATTTGTTATAAATCTTTTTTAAACTATCACAAAATATAAGAGCCATTTAAAGATTTTTGTAAGCAGCCAGAATTTTTCACAAAGCACTGTGTGTTATGACAAGGAAGTGAAAGATGGGAGGAATAATTAACATTTATTTATTTTATGTGACATAGACCATGCTATGTACTTTTATATATTCTATTGCTTTTTGGCCTCACAATAACGATCTTAATTTTACAGATACATTACATGTAAGTTTAATTAACTTGCCAAAGTCACAATCTTAATAAGCAATAAAACACAAATAAGCACCAAAGTTTGTCTCCTTTTAAGGATTAAACTATTAGAAAAAAATGTGTGTCTCTTAAGATGTTACAATCTAAAACAGATGAATTCAGAAGGAGCCATTTTTAAATAAAAAATAATAAATAAAATAGATGAAGATATGTGATAGATAAACCTTCTTAAAGTAACAAGAAAATTCCAATATTTTACTTCTCTTATTCATAGACTCTGTATATTTTTCTCAATATAAAAAAATAAATATTGCTTATTGCCAAATAGTTTGAAGGGGTCAACAGATATATTAATCTTACACATTTGCAAGATTTTATTAAGAATTTAATCAACTTAGTGAATTCCTGGGTTAGACAGCCTCTTGCCGGTAATAAGGAAGAGATATAATGAAGTAATGACAATCTCTATAACATCAACTCAGCTCTGATGACTCTGTTCCACTGCCCAGCCATTCTACTACTTCTCATATCAGAAATGGAACATTCCTATTACACCGTCTCCAATTCAGGCATCGATCCTGTCCCATCAATTACAGCCAGAAATAGGAAGGTTAGTTTGGCAAGCCATAGCAACTTAATCCACCCTCACCACACCAGCCCCTCAGAAAGCCAAAGGGCTTTCCAAAGAAGGGAATATATAACAGAAAGCAGTTTGAGGTTTAGGGGCCTGCCCAGTACAATAATGTTCTATGAGCATTATATATAAAATTCTGAATATATATTTTGCTTTCTGAACACACAATAATCTTCAATGGTTCTAATTATTATAATTACACCCACGGCAAACTATAATGTTACAAAATCTTTCCATTAGTGAAATAATCAATCATTCTCCTCCCACCAAAAAGCATTTAATGACATGAAATCCACCCAACTGATTTAAAAAATAATAATATACATAAATTCCTAATCAAGAGATGTCCTAATACTTGCAGAATCATGCATATAAACAAACACAACAAATCCAAATGCCACATTCAATATATTAAATATCATATATATTAAATGTCAAAATACATAGCATATTCAATATATAGGAATTATAAATATAAATTTTAACATTTAAATCTTTATGTAAATATCTACTAACTTCTTTGGCCGGGCGTGGTGGTTCACGCCTGTAATCCTAGCACTCTGGGAGGCCGAGGCAGGTGGATCGCTCGAGGTCAGGAGTTCGAGACCAGCCTGAGCAAGAGCGAGACCCCCGTCTCTACTAAAAAATAGAAAGAAATGATCTGGACAACTAAAAATATATATATGGAAAAAATTAGCCAGACATGGTGGTGCATGCCTGTAGTCCCAGCTACTTGGGAGGCTTAGGCAGTAGGATTGCTTGAGCCCAGGAGTTTGAGGTTGCTGTGAGCTAGGCTGATGCCACGGCACGCTAGCCCGGGCAACAGAGTGAGACTCTGTCCTAAAAAATAAATAAATAAATAATCTATCAATGTATAATGAAATAGACATTGACATTATTATTATAATGAAGTTATGTGATGAGCACTATGGTAAATGTTTCAAATAAATTATCTAATTTAATTCTAAAAAGAAAACTATGAAATAGAAATTATTATTACATTTTACATAAAGGAAAACTGAAGCTCAGAGAGGTTATCTAACTTGCCCAAGATTATAAAGCTGTTAAGTGATAGAGCCATATACCATTTCACTGAATCAAAAATATTATCTAACTATATATGATACGCCAATATTTCAAGTATAACTAAGGAAAAAGCTGCCAATTAAACTGATATTTCTATCCATCGTAATACACATCCCTATTTCAGAAATGTTAAAAAAGGTAAAAATACGTGTTTCAAAATCAATAAATATAAGTAATATATAAAAAACTAACATATCAATTTATTACCTATTTACTATCTAAGCAAATATAATCAATGACTCTTACCTTTGGCAAACATAGGCAAGATATCCGGGCTTCCCCAACTCCATGTGTACTTGCTTTCATTAAAAAGAGAATCAAATTCTACAGGATTTTCCTTCCATCCTTCAGGTTATTGAAGAAGAAAGCAAGCAGTAACAATAGTATTATGTACATGGTGAAATAAGCCACTACCGAAGTATTCTTCAAATAGTAACAATGATATTTGTCAGAAAACAAAAAAATGCAAAACTATTAATAGATTTTATGTTACATGTACTATACCAATATTTTTTAAAAAACTAACAATAGATAATTTACTTCTTACTAGAATGTGGAATCACTTTTGAACTTTGAGAGTAACATCTAGGAAAACCATAGATCCATCCAACCACACTCCTTCAATAATAGCATGGGATGATGAAAGGTTAAAGCTTAATTCTGGAATCAATACCAGTACGTGTTCATGTGAGTAAAGCACGCTAAAACACCTGTCAAAAGTATCTCAAAACATACTTTTCACTTTGTGATATGATTCAGTAGTAAAGGAGCACTATTTACATGACAAATTTTTCATCTAATAAAATTGTCTAAATAGACAATACCTTTGGCAACTGCACTGACATCTTCATAAAACCCGGCTATCAGGGCAACATGACCTGGCCGAGATTCTGTTGGCACGCGTGTATGAGATATCCCCCAGCTGCCTTCATGCATTATGATATTCCTAAAAGATATTTAAGACAAACAGTAAACACAGACTATGGTTAAATACTCTCATTAGGCTTTAGAAAAATAAGATTATTACAGAAGGAATCAAAACCAAAAAAGTGAGTTGAAACTTAAGAAGGAAAGGAATCTTTCAAATCCTAGCTGAGCCCAGCACGAGCCTACACCAGCTGAATGCAGTAGCATGAATGAGCCCAGGTGAGACCAACAAAGAACCACCCACCCACTGCACAGAATCATGAGACAAAATAGACCACTGTTGTTTTTAGCCACAAAATATTGAGATGGTTTGTTAAATAGAGATAGCTGATATATACAATATTATTATATTAATGTTAAATTTTATCAGGTGTGATGATAGTATTGTGGTTGTGTGAGAGACAGTCTTTGTTCTTAAGAGATATATGCTCAAGTGGTTAGGGGTGAAGTGCCACAATGCCTTGCTTTCGAATTGTTAAAAATAAATAATTAAAACTAGGTGCATGCGCATGTGCACACCCATGTGTGTATGTGTTTGTGTAGTGGAAAATTTCTTAAAATATTAAGGAGAGGAGAAATGGTTACTCTCCTAATTTGGAGACAGATTCCTAAATTTGAGATTAAGACAGGCAAAAAGTTTCTTTCGCTAAAATGTATCAACATTATTTGAGTGGTAACAGTGATTTGCAAAATTCAGGAAAAAAAGTGAAACCACCAGTGATACCATTACAGGTAAAAGCCCAGCAAAGCAACAAGTTATAAAACAGTGAATGCATCAATAACATTTTTCAAGATAAACACTTGACTCTCAATACATTCTGAAGAAAAATATTCATAAGTACTGGTATATTTTCTATTAATATTGATTTATCTTACAGTAGAAGCAATTTTGATAAAATACATATATAATAAGAAAATGGTTTGAAAACCATTGGCCCAGATGTTAAGGGAGAAATATTCTTTAACTTCTTGAGTTATATAATGAAAACTGGACTTGAAAGGGAAGAGGTAACAAAGAAATTTGGGTATTTCTATTTAAAAACATTAGTTTATATCATATTTTCTAAAAATTAAACCTTTCAAAAACAAGTTCAGAAGAAGGTATAAGATCCCTGAAATTGTAAATATATAATGACATACAACACAAAATATATTAACTGGTTGAGCCCTTGGCTCATAGCATTTCCTTTACTAAGACCAAAAGTGCTACCAGAAAAGCTTAAGTTTTCCTTCACAACCGGTAATTTTAAAATGAATTGTATTTCTCTCTTTTCTTTGGTAACTAGGAAATTCACTCAGATATTTTAATTATTTATAGGAATTTATGTTACACATTTTTATGTACTGTACTTAACCCTAGTTTGATCTTATTTTCCCACTAATATTTCCCTATTGACCTGAGTTGCTCATTTATTTATTTTTATCCTTTAGTATATTATGCATTTCTATGAGCCACCATAAAAAGGAATGAAACAATGTCTCTTGCAGCAATTTGGATAGAACTGGAGACCGTTATCCTATGTGAAGTATCTCAGGAATAGAAAAACAAACACCACATGTACTCTTTAATAATTGGGAGCTAGATGATGAGCACACACAGGCACAAAGAGATATAAAAGCCAGTGGAATCCAAGAAGTGGGGAGGGTAGAAGGAGGTGAGGGGTAAAAACCTATCCATCGGGTACAGTGATCACTATTCGGGTGATGGGCACACAAGCAGCCCTGACTTAAGCATTATATAAGGTATCCATGTAACAAAACATTTTTACCCCCTTAAATTTTAAAATTAAAAAAAAAGAGAAAGGCAAATGTACAAGCACCCTACTTTCTTTCTCATCATCACCTTTGCGCCCCCTGTGAGATAAACAGTAAGATATTTTGCTGGTTACTTAAGCTCAGGATAACATTTGTTAGAGATGTCTCTGTACCTGGTGACATGTCTTACCTAATAAATGGTGCTCTAGAGTTTCCATTTTCATCTAATTCATACAGTGCATCTGCTCGGAGTCCATCGGCAACAAAGAGCACTAATCTTCTTGCTGGAGGAGGCAATGGTGTGAAGTGAGGAGTCATTCCATGAACCAAAGGAGATGTAAAATAAATGTCAAAGATGGAAGCGAAGAACACAAAATGTACGAGCAGTCCCAAAGCAAAGAACAGCAGCATGTCCAGGGCAACTAATTAATCTTCCAGAAAAACTGAAAGAGATAACAAAATTAAACTGGGGTAAATCTTAATGCAATCATCACATGTATTTTCACATATTTTGATGACTACATGTAGCTTGAACATAAATTTTTAAATGTTTATATAACTCATTTTCATTTACTGTGGTAACAATAAGCATTATTTAATAATGAGAGATAATACTGAAATGAAATACGTGATAAAGTACACCCAAGCAAAAAGTTCAAGTATAATAAGTACTTAGGACAAATAAACTATTATAATAAATTTATGCATATACTAAGCTTATAAAAATTAGCATAGATCCAAAGAACAACGAATTAAATCAGTCCTAAAAAGAGTTAGGGTTCAGTCAAATCAAATCCTATATAAAATAGAAAATAGAACCCATGCTACTCTGCTATTCTTGGAATTTTAAATTATTTAAATTACTTCTAATTATTTAAATGTCTGTGAGTTTTTTTTTTTTTTTTTTTTATTACTTTAGTAATCAACTCAGGGGTCTGCTGTCTGTCTTCACTATCACCAAACTGAGCAAGAAACATGCATGCTATCCATTTGGTTGAATCATATGAAGCAAGTTAAATTTCATCTGTGCTTCAGAAAATTTGTACTCATTAAGGGAACATTTTATTTTAGTTCCCTGAATCAATGCAAAAAAGGTTACATTTATCCATTCAGTAAAAATGTTCTATGCACATACTGGGTACATAATTGTGTGCTGGGGTACTACAGAGAACAGCAAAAAGACATAGTCACAAATCTGATGTGCTTACAAATACTTAAAGAAGAAAAACTAGGCAATACGAAACATTCAAATAATACTTCAACACTGAATGCCATTAAACTGCCAAGATCAAAGTGAACATAGGAGTGCTTTTCAAGCCAGTCTGTAATTTGCTTTTGTTGGTGAATCTCTGTAGATTAAGGGAAAAAAAAAAAAGTATTGTAATTTGTCTTACTTGTAATGTAACTGCATTAGTTACATATAGTGACCTTGGGCTGAAAAACACCAAGGAGGAAGCAATTTTAATTACAGACACATCTTATTCTTCCTGGAGTGAAGAATCACATCATGGAAAGAAAGAATGCAAAAATACCCTGCAAAAACAAATGAAACATCGGAAAAACACTTATCAAAGTCAAACAGATCATAAAAAATACATTTATAATAGAGCAAAAAGTCAAATTACAGGCCACTTATCTTCTGAGAGAATCAAGGGTCAACTAAATATCAAAGATATTCCACAAAGTATAAAAATTCCTTACTGAATAGATGCTATTTTGCAATCTAAGGCAACATTCTCAGAGTTAGTTTGCTTCCTTTCTAATATACATGAGCTTCAACAAATACAGTAAGCACCATCTTAATAATGTTATTCTGAATATTAAAATGATATAATCAGTGTGGTTAAGTTTAGAAAATATAGAAAACTCACCTGTAATTCTACCACCTAGAGAAAATCTGTTGTTTCTTACAATTTTTATCCTATTTACATTTTTACAGAGGCTCACAATTTTATCTATTGATTTTTTTCCTTTAAGATATATTAGCATTTCTCTTAAAACAAAAAAAACAAACAAAAGTTCTTCCTACATATCATGTGCCATCACCATACTTTATGGGTACATCTTAATTTTTCTAATCACTCCCATATTGATAAACATCAAAATATAATAGTTTTTTCCAATTTTACACTATTAAAAGTGACACTGATTAATTTAAATTTCTATGTAATTTTTGTGTTTAACTTTTAGATATTTCATATTATATGTTTAAGATACTACCTGTAAGTACAATTACTGAGTCAAAAGCTAGGAGTGTCTTTTAAGGCTTTTGATATACTGAATACACAAAAAATTTTTTCAGTTGAACATTGATTTTCCTGATGATAAATTAAGCAACTCACCAATATGTATGTTTTCCTTTTTGCTTCTTTCACAAGGCCTCCTAAAGAAAAAGCTATCACTTCGAACAGACATGGCATAAGAAACTAAATTTGATGAGTAAAAAAGGAGATGTTGAATAGAATACTCTTATAAATGACAAGATTTCAAACTGAGAAATTATTTTTAATATCTTTACTTATTCACTAAGAAATTTTAAAATATCCTCATAGCCCTTACCAAACATACATTTGAGCTTTGGATTTTGCTTTTAAATCCTGTAAGATATATTGAAATCCTACTCTTTTGACTATTGTCTAAGGATGATACAAGAAATTCCTCAGCAACATTTAAGAAAACTTAGTTACTCAGTTGCCTTATGAACCTTGCATGCTCAGCAACAAGACAATCTAGGATCCCCTTGGACAGCAATAGAAGTACCCTCCAGTGTAAGTATAAAAACTTTAAGGTATAAAGCCAAAAAAATGTCAAATACAATCATTTTAAATGAGGAAAAAACACTCCTAGATTAAAATAAATAAAATAAAATGTTATTGTTAAGTAAAATAATACTAATGGAAAAAGTAAATATATTCATATGGATAAAATTTGATTTGACTAAGCTCTGTTAGGATAAAAGCATACTTAAAAAAGTAAATTTTGAAATGCACCAAAATCTTAGTCACAAGTGTTAAAATTGGCACATGGTATTCACTGAAGCATAAAATATTGTCTAAGATGTAAAAAGACCTCCTGGGAAGATATTTATAATGACAATTTTGGTCTTGCTAAGAATTTTTTTAGGGAAAAAAACAGTACTTGCAATTTTTTTTATTCAATAGGTATATTCCTCCTCTATACATTATTATATTATATGTAATTTCTTTTTACTAGCAACAATGGGCTATACATTATATTCCATCATACACTTTCTAAGAGTAGTATATAGAAAAAATAAGGTATGGTTTTATGTTTAACAGCAAGGAAAAATCAAATACTCATAGCTGACAAAAAGAATTTATACATGTCATATAGCATATTCCCTTCCTTCTTCTGTACTACTACAGATCACTTTTCCATTCTCTGATGCAGTTTAGAATCAAGATCACTGTTCTTAATTAAAAACAAAAGTAAACTATGTATTTTTACTGGAAAAAAATCTAATCTACATTAAATGCTAAATTATCCACCTAAATGTAAAATAATTTTGAATATATTTGTTATTTCCTTAAATTCAAACCTTAACATAGAATTACAGGTTCAAAGATTGTGAAGACTCTTTGGAATTATTGAACCAACTGAAAGTCCCATTAGAAATGTATGAATAACTATTTTCCCAAATCTGAAAGTTCTGAACTTTAACATTAATATTTTTAGTACATCAATCACATTATGACACTTTAGATTTATGTCCATTTTGATTTGCTTGCCTACTAACTAGTAAGGATGTATACTGATTTCCTAGCTATAGTTCTTCATGACTTGCTATTAATATTTTACTTTGTTTGTTATATAGTAGACATCCTTTAGACTTAACACTTTCTTTAATCCTGTAGAGACTACACATATGCCCCAATGGAAAAAGGACTACTGGCACATCTAATAATGAACCTAATCCAGTTGTATTTTTCTGTTGGAGATACCCTACATTGTGTTATTTTTCAAAGCTAATGTTTGCATGGTGTTCTGGTCCATGAAGAAACTTAGATTAATTGCCTTTGTGGCATATGGTATTTTTTTGCTTTCAAACAATTTTGTTTTAAGAGCATTTGGGGGAGGGCAATTACTTAAAATTACCTCAGAGAATATGAGGGAGAATAAATGCAAAAGTATTTATATTTAAATTTCCCTCTGGGTTTATCATCATCTGTTCAAAAACAGCTTTTAAGGAACAAATATATTTATGTTCAAAGTTGCAAGGTCTCTGTAAAGCTAATTGTCTCACTTTGCCCAGAACTAAGGGGGTTCTTGGAACGTAAGATTTTCTATTAGAGGGGCTTTTTAAACATTGTTACAAAATTCATATAACATTTATCATTTTAGCCATTTTTAAATGTACTAAATTCAGTAGTATATTTGCTCACACTGTTGTGAAACCAATCTCCAGAACTTTTTCATCTTACAAAGCTGAAACTCTGTACTCATCCAGCAACTCCCCATTTCCCTCTCCCCCAAGCCCCTTGGCAACCACCATTCTACTTTCTCTTTCCATGAGTTTGACTACTCTTGATATTTCATCTAAGTGAAATCATACAGTATTTGTCCTTTTGTGACCGGCTTATTTCACTTAGCATAATGTCCCCAAGGTTCTTCCATGTTGTAGTATGTGTCAAGATTTCCTTCCTTTTTAAAGACTGTGTAATATGCCATTGTATATATATATACCACAATTTGGTTATCCATCCACCTATCAATGCACATTTTGGGTTGCTTCCACCTTTTGGGAACTGTCAATAATGCTACTATGAACATACAATATACAACCAGTTTTGTCTTAAAATAAACATTGGGCATTGGCCAGAGGTAGTCATGTAGCTCTGTTTCACTTAAGGAGACTAGAAAATATAGGGGAACAGATGGAATTATTTGCTCACAAGAGAATATATCTGTGGTACTATCTGTGCCATAGATAGATTCTTATACCATATTTCACATAGTAATGCAATAATACATGTTTATTATGTATAATCACTATTATGTACATAATACATTAATTACATTGACTGAATGTAGAGAGGGGATTATAGTGGATAAAGAGATGAATCAGGGAGACTGTTATAAAGCTAGTTAGTAAGGTAGGCCAAGAAGGAAACTTTTATTGATTAGTCCAAATGGGGGCAGCGGAAGCTGAGAGAAGGAAGTGGATGATAGAGCTATACTTTGGACGGAGCTGAAGGAGAATGCTAGGGTTTGAGCTTTTCTCCACCAAAACTCATGTTGAAATTTGATCCCCAATGTGGTGTTAGTTAAGATGTGGGGCCTAGTGGGAGGTGTTTGGGTGTGTTTGGTGTTTGGGTTATGGGGGCAGATTCCTCACGAATGACTTGGTGCCTTTCTCAAGGTAGTTCTCTAAGAATGGAATCATTCCTGTGAGAGCAGATTATTACAAAGTGAGGTTCCTCCTCCT